ACCTGCTGGTGGTCTGCTCCCAGCACATCATTCTCTGTCAGGTCTGAAGTCTGTTTTCCAGAATCCATGAAAAACTGAATAAAAAAAAAAAAAAACAGAAAAAAATCAAATCTTTCATAAAGCTTTTTTTTTTTTTTACCCATCTGCTTTCAGTTTTGCTTCTTTTGTAATGAAAAGTTCCCTTCCTGGGCTTTTTTTTTGTGCTCAGACCCAATTCTTCTTACCCTAGTGGCTTTACAGACATTAGGACACCATTAAGATGATGAAATCAGACCGAATCAGTGTTAAACCATTTAAAGTCAAAGCTGCACGACTCAGGATTGAATTGCTGCTTCCCCACATGTTTCTGCCGATCTTGCCCCAGCTGTACGTGTGTTCCTAGATACATGTGCAGCACGTGTCTCTCTCTCCCTTCTGCAATCCTCTTCAAACTGGATAAAAAAAGACAGTTTGGATTGATTGGAAGGGTTGGGGTCTGTTAAAGCAGTGGGTGTTTTGTGGGGGGATCCCTCTGCTTTTCGTCTGTATGTTTGACAGCGTCTGGTAGGGCGGAGGGGCGGCACTGAGGTTATTTCCTTTCAAATTTGTCTAAAGCACAGAGGTGCTTTAGATCTCTCTATTCGACATGCTCATGTTTCATGGCCCAGACAGATCTTAGACCTTATATATGGGCTGTGCATGCTTCTGGTAGATTATATCATTGTTTATCTTTGTAAAATTGCTTCATGACATTGAAACACCCTTTTTGCGGCGTTTAAAAGAACAACATGCTGCAAGTTATTAGACTTACATGAGTTTGTTTTGCTACGATTAACAGCCCATGAAATGATGGACCTAAGACTGTAATTTTTCCATAATGAAACGGTTAGTCGGTACTGTATATGATTGTGGTTTCATGTTACTCGTTCCGCTCTGCATAGGAGAAGAGACTCCAGTGCCTGTCTTTTGCCGGTGTCAAGGAAAAAGAATGGGTGATGGAATCTATGATTCGTTACATCAAAGTGATCGGTGGTCCGCCAGGCAAGGAGGGTCTGCTGGTGGGCTTAAAGAACGGAGCTGTGAGTACTTAGAGACGACATAATCCCTCACAGAAACTTGGAAACAGTAACAGTTCCATCATGTTATTTCTCTAGGAATTTGGAGAAATGCAAAATGAACTCTGTGCATAATTAATACAGCTTCTTATACAGTGCTTTCCAAAAGTATCCACACCCTTTAAAACTTTGATTTTACGTTTGTTTTGTCTTGGTATGCTACAAAATCTAATGTATTTTATTGGGATTTTTACATTTTTTTATTTTATTTTGTGATAGAACAATACAGAAGAGGCCGTAATGATACAGAAAAGGGGGAAAAATGCTTGGTTTTTCATTTTTATGAATGGAATTTTAATGTTTTATGCATTTTTATTTAATGTATTTTACTAAATACTTTGTAGAAACACTTAAGTGCAGATTTAGCAACAATTTCTAGGTGATTGTCTGTGGCAGCTTTGCACATCTAGACACTCAGATTTTCTATCTATTCCTCTTTACCAAACCATGAACACCTGTTTTCAAGTTTGGCCACAGGTTCTCAGTTTAATATGGATCAGAAATTTTCATTTATTCAGGTTTTTTCTGACACATACAAGATAAAATCAAGTTTACAATGTAACAATTACTTTGCTCATAGGCCTTCTAGCTATCATTTTATATGGTACCCTTTACCTAGACTACTGTAACCCATCACTATTCATTGATAGCCTAGACTTTTTTACTTATAAAGTGGCTTGAGATGTAATTTATTGTTATTCTATAGTTAAAAAAGGAGCTGGGTTTAATTAATATCTCTAATCGTCTTTGAAAAACTTAACACTCAGAGCCTTCTTCCACATGTTTGTTGTGTCTCCTACATGGTTTGTAGGTTGAATGTTCATGAATGCAAAGAATTTGAAACTATCATTTTTAAAACTCCACCTTTTTTTTATTCCCTCCAGTTAATGTCAATTTGTTGTAAAAATGTCAAATGTTTTAAAAGCTCTAAGGTTTTGATTACTTTTGCAAGACACTATAAATCGTAAAACACACTCCATCTGCTCAGATCTTTCTTTCTGATTTTTTTGATGTAGATCCTGAAGATATTTGTCGACAATCCTTTCCCAATAACGCTGCTGAAGCTGTCAACATCAGTGCGCTGCCTCGATATGAGCGCGTCCCGCAATAAACTGGCTGTGGTGGATGAACATAACACTCTCTTCGTCTATGACAACAACAGCAAAGATTTGCTTTTTCAGGTTTGTAAAAAGAAGGAGCGAAAACATCCCAAGGATTTTAAATTGGAAGATTTCTAATAATAAAAATAATAAAAAATAAAAGAACATTTCTGAAAGGACTTCATGGGATCAGTTAGTCAGCGCGAAAAAGAAACATGGATGCTTGTTACAGATTTGCATAAACCGCAGGAAGAATTCAATTTAAAATGGTGTCTTCCTGGCTGTTCTTTGTTCCTCTGTCACCTCCACACCTTTGTTTCTGTATATCTTCTCATATTTTCTCTGTAGGAGCCTAACGCTAACAGCGTAGCCTGGAACACCCAGTGTGAGGACATGCTGTGTTTCTCTGGGAACGGCTACCTTAACATCAAGGCCAGCAACTTTCCAGTGCACCAGCAGAAAATGCAGGGCTTTATAGTGGGCTACAACGGCTCGAAAATATTCTGCCTCCACGTCTATTCCATGTCTGCTGTCGAGGTGCCTCAGGTATGTTATACATAGCCTAGATGTAGTGATGGCTTTACATGTGATAAAGGGTTTTATAGCACATCCTTGTTTTAGTGACCAGAATGTCTTGAAGATGTTTTTTTTTTTTACATTTTTTTTTTCACATTGTAAAGTCCAGCATGTGACATTTTATCAAGGTTTTATGCGTTAGACCAATCCTACCTCCAACACAATTATCAAGTGAATGAAAATTATGTGAAGCTTTATGTAAATAAAAGAAAAAAAAAAAAAAAAGGAAAAGAGACAGATTCTCCAACATGAGTTATGCATCTTTGCAGCTTATTGGAGCTTCTTGGCCTCTTCTGTGATTAAGTTTCCCCTTTTCTTGACTGCTCTATTGAATAAACTTCTCTAGGTATTTTGGCCCTACTCTAACAAATGACTGGGGCTTTCACAGAGCAGATGGATAAATATTAAAATTAAATCACACAAACAGACATCATGTAGGTGACTTACGATTGCCAAATGTATAATTCTACTTCACCTCGTTACATTTTCTCTGCCCAGTCAGCACCCATGTACCAATACCTGGAGCAGAAGATGTTTAAGGAAGCTTATCAGATCGCCTGTCTGGGTGTGACAGACAGCGATTGGAGGGATTTGGCCACAGAAGCTCTCGAGGGACTTGACTTTGAAACAGCCAAGAAGGTGAGCCAGACACACAGATTGTCAGGTTAAGTCTTACTATCCCACCCTTAATTAGTAATTTTTACTTAAATTAGTGAAACTAGATCAACATGTATTCTGTAAACCCGTTCACTGTGGATTTCTTTTTATCTGTAAGATGTTAAAGCAAAGCTGTGGATTTTATCCAAGCAGCCAAGCAAACATTGAGCCCCTTTTTTAAAACTTCCCATATTTGATTTAGTTTGTATTTGTTAGAAAGACACATCCATCACAAAAAATCTCCAACTATTTGCACTGGTTACGCTCCATTACAAAATCTGAGAACATTCTTAAAACATATCACTGCAAGTGACTTATTGTTATCGCACTGTTGTTTATAATGAACAGTTCTGTTTAGAAAGAATGAAAGAAAAGAAAGAAAAAGGGTTCTTATGTTCTGCCAACCCTTAAGTTTGTATATTGTAATTCAGCTTTTCCCAAAGTTTGCTTTTGTTTGTTTTTTTTTTTTTGGTTCCATGCAGTCCAAATTGTTCAATTTGGTTGTAGAGCTGTTTTTGACTGAGTCTCAGGAGGAATTTAAAGTGGACCATTTAGAAAAATAGTCGGTAGCTTTAAAGGTTAATTATTATCTTAGCCAGGATTTTAATGAAGCTGAGGCTGGCTATGCAACCAAAATTAAATCAGATGGCAAGAAAATATTAGTTAATGCTGTGTATTTTTTTTTTCTTTTTCAGGCCTTCATTAGAATCCGAGATTTGCGCTACTTGGAACTGATCAGCAGCATTGAGGTAATGTCTATTTATCAGAAAGAAAACTATTCAAAGATCATCTTTTCCTGTCCTTTCATTAACTCATACAGCACCATGTAAAAGCATTAATACCCATTTAGCGTTCTCACATTCATTCATGTTAAGGCTGCAGGTTTCAATAGGTTTTATGGGGATTTTATTTTATAGACTAAGAAAGTATTGCATCATTGTAGATTGGAAAGCAGAAGGTGCCTGGTTTTTAAATTCTGAACAGAAATGAAATTTACTGTGATCTGGTCACAGCTGCAAGTCTTTGTGTCGACATCTAAACTAGAAACCCATGTTTGCAAAATAGCTCCAGCTCAGTCAGACTGGACACCGAGTGTCTGTTAACCTTACTTTTTCAGCCTTGTCAAACATTCTTTACTATCTTAATATCTGTGCTGATTAGGTGATTCTAAATGTGACCTAAATTATTTAGTAATTCCTCTGGCTGTTGAATAGAGTTCTTGTTCCCCTGTGAAATGAAGGTCCACTCCATTTTTTAGTAATTCAGGATTACTCCCTGTTTAAATTTATACGTAGTCCTATCAGTTGTGACCCGCTTTAATGTCCCTGCTAAAGAAAAAAAGCGTGACTACCATCACCACATTTCGCCCTGAAAATGGGAAAATTCATGGGTAATGTATGGTCTAACATTTCCAAATCACTTGGTGCTTTTATAGGCTTATAAATGACTTCTAACTAGAGCACCTTCCTCCAGGTGTTTGCTCTGACATGGCTTGTGACAAACTACAAACAGATCTTCTTTTAGCTTTCTCATTTAACTCTTAAATAACACCGGATTAGTGTGAACCTAATAGTTATTCTACAAACCCATAATTCCCCTTGAGCTGTGAATCTTTAAACTTTCTCAGAGCTACCATAGGCCTCTTGCCGCTCTCTTTGCCATGCCTTTCCATTGACGGGTGGTCATGTCTTGCTAGGTGTATACTTTTCCATTTTTAGATGAGGCACTGAACAATATTCGGTGATGATATTCAGAGCTTGTTTAAAACTTTCAACCACTTTATTCCTGCTTAGTTCCTGATTTCAAGAGTTGTTTTTGTTTACTTAGATTCTCTAACAGTGATCAACTGGATTTATGCTAAGGGTACATTACACTGATGTCAGTTCTTATTTACCAATTAGGTGACTGATTGATTGAGATTGATTGACCTGAATTTTAATACTTGAAGAGGGTTAACATATTCAAACATCAAACTCTATAGATTTTCCTACTTTTTCACAATTATGTACACCTTTTATATTGATTGAAAAATTCATAATTTTACAAAAACTCATTGAAGCTGTGGGTATACACTTAGAATGTGGAAAAAATGCATTTGATACACACTGTGTTGGTAGCGGTTGAAGTGTGGATGTTTGAACATGCACTTGACTGTGTGTCCACTCAGTGTTAATGTTGACTGATTTGTAGGAGAGGAAGAAGCGGGGCGAGAACGACAACGAGATGTTCCTGGCAGACGTCTATGCCTTCCAGGGGAAATTCCGCGAGGCTGCAAAGCTCTACAAACGCAGCGGCCACGAACCAGCCATGAAGAAAGCTGTGAACATGTACGCCGACCTGTGCATGTTCGAGCACGCCCAGGTAACGGAACTGCTTACTGACAAAAACATGTCCAATCACATGCAGCTCAGCTTTTACAAATACAAACAAAAACCCCTGTTTGGCTCCTGCAAGCTTTATGAGTCGAGAACACATGTTTGTTCTTTATTATGTGGAGAAATGCCAGGTTGGGGCCCTGTGCTGTGCTCAGACAACCCCTTTAGCCTTCTCTCTTTCCTCTCCTCATACATCACCAGGAATTATATCATATTTCATCTGAGTAGTAAACAGATGCCACAAAATTCCACAAAAACCATGGCACAACAAAAGAAAAGCTTACATAGTTAATATTAAAACTGCAGATTGAAAAAATATATATATCTATATCTATATATAGATATAGATATACTCTACATGACTTATTCATGTATATTTCTGCATGCATGTGTGTATCAGATTGTATCTGTGTGATGTGGCAGCTGTGTATTTTTCTTGTTGTGTGGCCATCTGGTCGCACAGCCTGTTTGTTTTAAGTAGGAAGGACACCAGAGGGAAAGGCCGAGTTTCTGCCTGATGTTTGTCCGACTGTCTTCCTGCTTCCTCAGACCTCTACAGTTCCAAATGTTTAGTCTTTCTTGCTCTCTGTAAAGATTAAAATTAAGATAGTGAAAGTGACATTATTTTTCAAAGGAAAAAGGATCCCGTCTGGATTTAGAATCTGTACTGTTAGAGCGTAGAAATTTTTATTTACAGGATTTTGCTGAAGCTTTTATACGTAAGAGGGCCTAGTGGTTAAGGCATAGAGCTTGGAATCCTGAATTTCTGAGTTCGAAACCCACTCGAACAGACTGCCACTCTCGGTCTGTGAGTAAAACCCTTAACCCCACACTGCTCCCCAGACGCCCCACGAGGGCAGCCCACTGATCACCAAGGGGATGGGTTAAATGCCAATGTAACATGCTCCCATGTGTGATCAATTAAGTTCAATACCTCTGAAATAATATTACTTTTTTCATGTTTCTAAAGTAAATTTTTATGTATTTTGCAACTTTTTAAAAAGTAATAGACCAATACAAATATATCCCGGTGGTTGTCACCTTTATTCCACTCTGTATTCTCACGAGTGTAATCTTTGTTAAAAAATAAAAAAAGGAAAACAAATTTAAAAGAAACCGTTTTGAAAAGTTTGGTATTCATTCTTTTCCTGCTCTGTGTGTCAACTGTCATTGTTGCTAAGGGACAGAGCGTACTGCGGTTAAAGCAACTGAAGGCTAGACCTGTTTGAATGCACAGCCAAAACTCTTCCAGTCTCCTTATTTACATGGACTTCGAAGGACCCAGGCCAGATAGATGCATCCTTGGAAGATGCAGTCTGTAAGTTCGACTTCAGCCTTGGTTTTGGGAAAGGTTCACACTTTTCATGTGTTAAAAGGTCTTCATTAGCTGTTTTATGAAGTAGATTTAGTGTGGTCAATCTTATGGTTTCAACCGTGTTGACCCTGTTTTGTTGCGGAAACAATCAAATTATATAATCTTTAAAGGTTCTCATGTTAAAATGTACAACTCTCATCAACTATCAAAATCTTGTTAGCTAAAATGCTAATTCAAGCTAGAGTAATTTTTATTGTAAAATGTCCACTGTGTTAACTATGTTAACCTTATTTGGTTAACATGGTGAACACCTACTTAACAGAGTGGACATAAGTATACACCGGACATACGTATATGATTGGTGTATACGACATATATACAGCAGTCGGTGTGACCGGGGCCTGTCATGGCACACATGGACCATCTCTATACCCTTGATTGGGTGCTTAAGGGTTCGTGGGAGTTTACCCAACCAGTTCACATGTGATTTTTGGATCTGGAGAAGGCTTTCGACCGCGTCCCCCATGGTGCCCTGTGGGGGGAGCTCCGAGAGTATGGGGTCCGGGCCCCACTATTCCGGGCTGAACGCTCTCTGTATGACCGCAGCAGGAGCTTCGTTCACATTGCCGGCAGTAAGTCCCAGTCCTCTTCACGGTGCATGTTGGCCTTCGCCAGGGCTGCCCTTTGTCCCTGGCTCTGTTCAGTACCTTTATGAACAGAATTTTTAGGTACAGCCAGGTACTGGAGGGTGTCTGGTTTGGGAACCTCAGGATATAATTTCTGCTGTTTGCAGATGATGTTGTCCTGTCCTGTTATATCTCAAAAAAATCTTAAAATTTTGGATTTCTTTTTTTTTTTTTGGCAGTTCATGACACCCTAAAGGCACCACATTTAAAGAAGGACCCTTATATAGTTGTGTTTTGCTCTTTCTTTTGCATATTTCTTAGCAAAATGACTTCTTCTAAGTCATCGAAAGTAGAGTGTCCTTGAAAAGCAATTTCAAAGTCTACAGATTTCAATTGGATTTTGGCCTTAACTTTGACAAGGCTGTTCTCACATCGCAATAAAGTATTTATGTTAGTTTACGTTAAAAGATAAACCTATGCCTCAATCTTTAACATTTTGCAATCTATAACAACTATCAACCTTCATTTAGTTCTATCCTTCCAATCAATGTTCACCAGTGTTCCTGTCCCTGCTGATGAAAAGTATCCCTACAACATGATGCTGCCACGGGTACATCTGTGTGCATGGGTTCACAGTGTTCCTTATGTAGACCACCATGCATTTTAGTGTCATTTGTCCAAAGTACCACCCTCCATGTTTGCTGTTTCCTGTAGATGCAAGCTGTCCTGTGCAGGTTGAGCTGGAGTCTTTTGAGGGGTTTAGAGGGAATATGAATGCAGGCCACAACTCTCTGATCTTTTTTCTTATTATTCATTCTTTTTCGGATGAAGTGAATGCCAGGCATCATATACATTAAATATTGGTACACACACAACAGTATGCATACATATAAATACATGTACATGTTCCTGCCTAATCGAAATAAGGATTTCTTTATTTAAAAAGAGACAATTTTTATTTTCTATCGAGTTGATATTTTGGGTTGATCTAGAATATAAAGGGTCTGTGATACTGTATTTCTAATGATGTTTGTAAAAATAACTACAAAATGTTTACAATGTTCAACAGGTTATTTGTTTTCATCTATAAAGTCACTCATTAAAACCAAAAAAAGGATATATAGATTCGTTTGCATGATCTGATCATTTCTAACCATACATTTTCTTTGGTTTTTCCTCTGGTACAGGACACAATTAATCTCCTAATAACCAGTTTGGTGTTTTAATTGCTTATGTTTTTTTCTGAAATCATGTATCATAAGTGGTTTTTCAGCTTTATCATGTTGCCTAAGCCTTTTGATTTCTGTTTGCAGGAGTGTGCGGGTGTTACAGACCCAAAGGTCTCCCTCAAGCTAATAACAAAGCAGGCAGATTGGGCTAAAAGCAGCGAGGAGCCCCGGACAGCAGCTGAGATGTATCTGTCAGCAGGAGAACACATGAAAGCTATAGATATTATCGGAGAACACGGCTGGGCTGACATGTAAGTGTCTTTCACTACGGGGGATATTCTCATTCCCTGAACAATATTGTTTTCTAATCAATACATATAAACATATCTGTATATTTATTTCTGGAAAAAGAGTTACTATTGTCTAATTTAAATTATTTTTAAGAGACGAACAGGAGGTTATGGTGTGCAGTCAGTGACACTGTAAAGTGTCTGTAAAGTGACACTCATGTAACAGGGTAGACCTCTAGATTTCTGTTTAGTTGCTTTGGGAGCCCCAATCCTTTCATCTGTGTTACTACAGGTGGATCAGAGGGACTCGGAACAGTCAGAGCCCTTTAACTGGAATCAGATAAAAGTTCAGACTCTGAATGATGAAATTATTTTCAGGGTCTTGAGAACGTCCTCCAGACAAACTACTGATGGTTTAACCTCACCCACCCTACCTGTGTACCTGCCTCCCTCTTGTTATGCAGGCTAATTGGCGTTGCACGTAAGCTGGACAAGGCTGAGCGTGAACTACTGGCAAAGTGTGCGGTGTACTTCAAGAAGCTGGGACACCATGGCTATGCCTCAGAGACTTATTCCAAGATGGGAGACTTAAAGGCTTTTTTGCAACTACACGTGGAGACGAGTCACTGGGAAGAGGTCTGAGACAACTATTTAGCTTTTAATATTAAATCTGATTGACATAATGTATGTAAACAAAAATGTCCTGACACAGTCAAATAAATACAGAGATGTTGGAAATTTACTACATTTAATATTGTTATGAACTAGGAAAAGAATAGAGGAAAGAAAATACATTGAAAAGGATTGTTTATTTACATCTTTTCTTTTAACTATTCAGGCTTTATTTACTTTCACATTAACTTCTTTTTATAATAGGTCACTCAACAAATGTGCTTCCCTGCTTTTGATTTAGATAAATGATGCATGTTACAATAATAACAGTTACTGACTAAAATAACATTGTTCTTTGTTCCCTAACCCCAGTCCCCAAGGCATGTACGTCTGTCCATCCATCTGTAAATTTGTATTAGATTTAACTTATTCTTTACTATGCTAATGGGACAAAACTGACCCGAGGTCAGATGCAGAAGTGTGTCTGAAAAGTATGGAATATTTGACTGGAAAAATGTTTATAAACGCCCAGAAATACAGTAACATGAAACCGTTGTTAATAAAGTCCTTCGTGAGCCACAGCGTAAACTGTATTTTATGGCTTTTTTGGTTTGGCAGGAAACCCCAACAAATAGCTGTGTGAGATTGACACAGTAACCACAGCTGAATGCAAACAACAAGACAACATGTCTGCCCGATTTCCTCAGTTACTGACAAATAAAACCACAGCACCCCCCTGATCGTTAAGGTTCTGATTGCTCTGAGTCCATGCCCAGAATGTGACGAGTTCAAGAAAAAAGTAAAAAAAAAAAAAAGATATATTGCATAGAAAGAGCATCAGCCTATAACTGTATTCTGTTCTCAATCATGTTTCCCCGCCACCACAGATCATGCCGCTTGTATGGAAGGGAAATAATGTGTTTTTTTTAATCCGTCTGCGGTCTGTAATCAAATTAGAGGCACTGCAGAGATTCTAATGGCTGATTAGCATTTGGAATCACTAGAGCCAAAAACAGAGCATCAAATCTTAAAGATTTGGTTCTGGAGTATCTTCTTAATCCCCAGAGAGAGAATAGAGGAAAAAATAGAGGAGGGTGGCAGAGGTGTAGAGGATACTCTGGCTTAATGTGCCTCTCTGAGGGAGGTATGCACCAAGTTAATTCCAGTATATGGACGCCATTTTTCAGTAGTACCAGTTTTAAAAGACTTTTTTGAGAGTTTTCAATCATAAAGTGTTTCTGACTCAGATTATGCCACAGGACACTGAGTTTAATTAGTCACTTTGTACGGCAAATGTTTGTCCACAGGGTCCCACAGCAGCTCTTCATGTCCTGACAATCAAACAGCGATGCACTTGTAGTCCCGACTGAGCCTGAAATCAGCTTTCCTCGTACACTTGCCTTCGTTTTCAGTTAATTGATAATGTTGTTGAAATGTTTTGACTTGAGGTTAGGTGTGTTTTATGGAAAATGCGTGGTAACTTGTATCTCCCTAATGAGCTGCAGCTGGGCCTTTACCTGCCCAGGGGCCATTTAACATTGTTTAGGATCTTCTACCTACTAGCTGCTCTATTAACTGATTTTCTTCTTTTGTCCTCTTGCCTTTCAATGTTCCAGGCCATCTCCCTGGTGAAGGAGCACCCACAGTTCAATTATGACGTCTATTTCCCTCTCGCCCTTTGGTTTGCAGAAAACAGTCACTTTGATGAGGCGCAAGAAGGTCAGAGTCACTTTCACTCGCTCAAATTTGTCTCTGTTATACAGCACATATAATACACGCCTACAGGAATATGTTTCAGTCAACATAGAGTCTACTTTAAGTTGGTTTACATATGGAAGTGATAAAGCCCGTCTGGCTTTAAACACATTCTTTTTTTTTCACTACTTCCTTAAAATTTTCCATATCCCTGTAAAAACATGATCCTCTTTGCCGGAGCAGAGCAGGACACAGCTCGGCTGCTGTTCAGTGAGTGACACGCTTGCTTGGCTCTAATCACCAGTGCTACAAGCAGCTCTGATGATGATTACCAACTCTAACCATAGTCATAATCAGCTCATAGATTTATAATTATAATCTCAGCAGGCATATTTCCTCTCCCACATAATCTTCTTCTGCTCGTCTCAATGTGGGATTTATGGCTGATTGTGTTTGGGCTTGCTTATAGTCAGGCGTTTAGGTAATTGTGTGCGTTTTAGGTTGCCACTAAAGCAGTATTGTGTTACAGTGATTGTAATGTCTCAGATTCTGGCTTGTTTTACGCTCAGTACTCTGCTATTTCTCATTGTCAATCTCAGAAAGGGTTATCATGGCTTAGATCTGCTAAACTGCTTTGTTTTGGGTTTTTTCTGGGACTTTTCATGTAGAATGATTGATCTCTAAAATGTAATAAAATGGGTGGTTTTAACTTCACAGTAATAGTGCTACAAAATTATCAACTACTTATATTTCTATTCATTATGTACCTTTTCCTATCAATTAATAAGTTAATGTGCCCAAGAGGCCTAGTCATGATTACATTTTCTTATTTTTTTGTGACTTTTTCATCAGTCTGATTTAGTTGGAATCAACACTCTTGTACTTATTAAATGTCATAATTTCAATGAGAGAACATTTTTTTTAGCTGATAAGAAAAGGTTAATATGGGGTCCAAAATACCTCACATAAGATACTCAATCAAAGTAATTTTTAAAGAAGCTTTTTAGGGTCCTTTAAAAAGGTAAACAGACTACGGTAATGAAACACTGAAAAGACATTTACTTTACAACTGCAGCCCCCAGAAGTTTACTTTGAAGGATTTTATAGAGATGCTTTGATGAATTTGTTGACAAGTAAATACGCATGCAGAATTACTTTATGTTGGTAAATGAAGATGACAGAACTTTAAATAAACATATAGATTACTAGGGATATAAATAAAACTAAACTAAACCAGACCCCAGTGAGTGAAAAGGGTCAATTTACTGGAGAAATAATTTACATAAATTATTTATTTCCATCTTGATAACATGTTTGTTTTATAAGTTATATCTAGCTGCTGTTAGAGAGTTAAAAAAACAAGGATTTTGTTTCTTAACGGTGCCATTTGAAGATCTTCATTTGCTCCCTAATAAATGTTTTGCTGCATCAAACAACGAGCATCAACAAATATTTATATCCTTAAAAAGCCTGAAAGCAGGTTACATTAGTCATTCCATGATATGTAGGGCTGGCTATCTCATTTGGACAGTAAACGATGAATGTAGTGATTGATGTTTTGACCTGAAAGATACTCTTGAGATATTAAGATATTATCATATAATAAAATTACAATTATTGGACATTTTTAATGTACTGTAAATGGCTAAAACAGCTCATATAAACTCAACTGAATGCTCAGAAAGGACACTTGAGGAGTTCTGGCTCCACCATCTTTAAGGACGAAGAAGCTTCTTTAATTTTTTTGCATATTTATATGATTTATTGCATTCAAACTCATTTGTTCCCATATTGATATTGTATATAGTGATATTGTGATAATTGAAACATTGTTGACGTTATATGCAGCCCAGCTGAGTCATTCCTTCAGTTTTAGCTTTGTGCTTTTAACCCGTGAAGGCAATACCTGTAGGGCATACCAGGTTCCACTGACAACAATTCTTATGAGTGTGGATGCCATTACCAAGAAAACAAAAGCTTCAAAAAGATTTATTAGAAAGTCCTTAAAAAAGAAAACAGTTTTTAATCCTTCAGAGCTTTTAACATCCATCTGTTTTAAAACCTGTTGGTTTTAAAAAAAAACGCTGTCAGAGTTAGGGTGACAAGAGCAAAAGCCTGTTAGAAAAATAGTTTTGTTTATACATTTCTGTAATTGTATTTTTAGATAAATAAAGTGACTTCAACAAGACTGGCATTAGCAACTCTACAAAAACCAGAGATCAGAAAGTTCTTAGCATAATTCTGCCTCTTTAGATCCTTATAAACTGGATGCTAATCTGTAGTCATGAGTTTCTGTCCATATTTATTTTACTGTGTTACCTGCTGCTTCTGCTCTGTCCCTACAGCAAATGTATTCTTTACCTGTCTAGATTAATGAATTATTCAGTATTGTTATGATCATGCGTGCATATCGGTTTATTTTAGTGTGCACTGACTTTATTTTAATATAACATCCAAAAAATAAATCCAAATCCAAAATATAACATCTGTTTGTCTCCACAAGCAAGCTCGCTATAGAAAAGCACTGAGCACAGTCTGCAGACTTGTCAGTTTGCATTTTGTGATTGTGTAAGGCAGGGGGGAGGGGATGGGGCTGCTTGTCGCTAACAGTAACCAAAAGCAGCTGAAAGTGATTTCTGTCCAGTTAGGACTTCTAATATATTTTTGACCCCCTGCAGCGTCCTATGGGGGCAGGGTCAGATTTGGGGGTCGACTACCAAGAGCTGCTTCTAATTACACAGTAAAAGGAACAACAAGGATAATCTCTTGTTTATGTGGACGTTAAAGCGGAAGTGCTTTAGAAATATATACATTTATCACTAATGCCTGGTATGGCATACAGTTTATTGTAACAATCAAACTACAGTTAGATTTATTTAATTTGGATTTTTATGCAAAAGATGCTCCCAGTGTCTTGTGTAAATAAAAATCTGAAAAGTGTGGTGTGCATTTGTCTTTACCACCTTCTACTTGGGCATAAAATTAAGTTCACCCAATTGCCTAGTAAAATTCATTTACTAGAACTTAACTTCAATTCATTTGTTTAGGGCCAAGTCACTAGACATGTCATCTGTAAGTCTTTGACTTTACAGCTGTCCCTTTTTTCTGCATGCATGTAGCAACAGGAAAGCTCCCCTTTAACAGGGGGAAACCTTTCGCAATATGTCTGCTATTTTTTCAAAATGTAAAAAATTTGAAAATGTAAAAAAAACCTTTAAATGCATTTGAAATATATCCGAGGCTTTCATCATATGATGCGGCACAGTACATTTAATCAATGGAATACGAAAACATTGAGCTACAACTGCAAACTTAGACATGGCTGCTCTCCTTAAGGCAACTAATGGGTTTGCCCTTTACAGAATGAGATGGGAACCAAGTGTAGCTCTTTAACTTTTCAGGCAAAACACCAAACTTCTGAGCACCCAGAGTACCATGTCCCCTCAGGCATGGTGCACCCAGCATCATGCAGGCAGGAAGCGTTTCTTGAGCAGGGACAGGGAATTTGTTTATATTGATATGAAATTGGATTAAGCTAAACATAGGACATCCTTCTAAAACCAAACTATTAAAAGCTGAAAAAATTGAAATTAAAACCGGTTGGGGAGGCCCCTTCCGGGTGGAAAAAAAAATCTCTGTTAGAATGGCCTAGTCAAAGCCCAGATTTATATCCAATTGAGAATTTGTAGGAATTGTTAAAGGGGCCGCACCTTCTCTGCTGTTAGAAAAAGCCTTTGGTCATCTATCCTTGTAATGTACCTTGACAGAATTCCAACCCATAGATGCTGTCTGGTGTAACTGATATATTTTACAAAGAAAATAAAAACATTTTGAGCTGGTGGGGATGCTCCCTTAGAGACTCATCAGCTTTGATTGAATAGAAATGTGGCTACAAAGTATTGAAGGGTGGGGTTTAATACTAATTCAACAAGTTATGGGCTGTCTTCATTAATTTTATGTAAATAAAACAGCAACAATGTGTTTTTGGTGTTTATTTTTATTTAGTCTCTTATGCAATGCTTTATGTTGGTTAATTGCATGTAATGTGGCTGTAATGTCACTGGAAGAGAGATAAACTACAGATCACCAAAAACAAGGCAAACATCCTCCTAAAGATAAAGCTGAGGGAAGTTAAATGTCCCCACTATTGCTTATGTAAGAAATAGTTGCATGGAAGTTGGCTGCTAGGAACCAAGTATGTCTCCTTACATGCCCTGTTTAAAGTACTGCTTAACTGCAAAGCCCTTTGAAAACTTACAGGATCCACTGACTGTTGTTCTTTTTTCTACTTGTCAGCATTTAACAAGGCTGGGCTTCATAACGAAGCTGTAAAAGTCCTCAAGCAGCTTACCCACAATGCAATGGTGGAGAACAGGTTCAACGATGCAGCCTACTATTACTGGAAGCTGTCCATGCAGTGTTTGGACATCGCCAGAGGTGAGGAAAATCATCACTGATGTCCAAAGGAAACAGAGTTCCCTTATTTTTTGCACCTACTTGTGATTCTGTTTATCCAAACCAGAAAAGGAAGATCAGAGGAAGGAAATGCTGCAGAAGTTTGAGTCTTTTCAGCATCTTGCTGAGCTATATTATGTCTACCGCTCCATTCAGCTCTACACGGTGAGGCTCTGATTCTTTATAGGTTATAATTCTGCTTTACTCAAAGACACAAAGAAAAAGATGTTTAGCTCAGGTGAGCAGCTGTAAGATTTAAACTGCTTAGCCCCAGAAATAGCCCCTACTATGCGGATAGAGGTCTATTTTCGGTCCATATATGTGACCTGTGATTTCATACACATAGAGTGAATCTGGCTTTGCAAGATTATGTCAATCCACTGAATGATTTAGCTTTAAATGGAAATTAAGATAAGCTCAGAGTGTGTCAGGTGAAGTGAACAAAAGAGAGAATAGAAGGCATTAAGTTAAGGTTATAGTTCACTAAAGCAGAATGGCCCACCCATTATTAAGCTCCTAAACCCCCCTGACCCAAATCGTCAGGGTAACAAGCTCCTTTATAGAACCACATGACAACCTCATCAGTGGCCCTCTCCTACCCTTCTGGTCTTACTGGCCTCAAGACTACACAAGTCCTGCTTATGAGCTCTGTGTGTGAGATCTGGCCTTTATCAGTGGGCTCAGTTTGTTGTTTCAGCTCTTTCTGTCTGTCTCTCAGGCTCGGTCACACCCTCGCAACAACAGAGGCATCTGTCTGTGATCCAGACCAGAGCAGGAAAACCTCGATTTATCACTTTAACTCTCCCAGACAGGCGCAATAGATTTAAACTCTCAACTCTGGGGATGAAATGCTTTTAGTGACGGCTTTAGAAAATTCGTCATTGCCTTTCAGAGCACTCTGAGGATGGATAAGACGCAGCAACGGGTTAGGCTGCTTTAGAGCAGGTTGAAAGATTATAGAAATAAGAGTGGGAGTAAAAGAAATGGAGCTTTTAGAATTGTTATCAGATATTTAGGCTATTTTGTATAATCCATACCACAGCCATGTCTCATTTTGGATTCTTTTTTTAATCTTTAGGATGAACCATTCAGTTCCCACATGCCAGAGACGCTCTTCAACATATGCAGGTTCCTATTGAACAACCTCACCAAGGACGTACCGCCAGGAATTTCTAAAGTGTATCCATTTTTCCCCACAATGAAAACGCACCAAAATGTTACAGTTTGGTGGACGTTACTTTACAACAAACCACCCCAAAATCAAGACTGGCAGCAGGAGCAGAGGAAAATAGATAGGAGTAGGGAAACAACTGAAGCGTTGGCGCCACAGCGGAGACCGCCCCACTGCTGAGGGGAAGAAAAGCGATGATGATGGGGAGGAGACGATGGCAGCAAAAGGCACATTTTTGGTTTGCTAAACAAGCGCTTTGATTACTGAACTTTGTGCACAACTTTTCTTCAGTGAACAATATGTTTTAATTCTAACAAACGCCATCCACCGCAGTAAGAAGCAGACAAAGCAAACCCTACAGAAGCTGGTATGAGGAAGGAAGGGGAGGCCTTGAAAAGAGGAAATCCGCTGCAGCAGTTGGGATCCTCTGTGGCCTAACAGAAAAAACTTTGAAGTGAGATTTATGAACTTTGTGGGAAGGTGTTGGACGTTGTGCAAACTGTTAGAGACACTATGCTGCAAATAGCCCCCTCTGAGCTAAACAGGGTTACACAATAGAAGGAGGTGCGTTTATCAGGAGTAGCAGAACTGGGTGAGTAGGAGGAGCTGGAGAGGAGAGGATTGGCTTTATAAGAGACAGAAAATACCGATATGGAGCCGTTGCAGCTGCAGCTCCTTGACCTGTGCTTTCCACTAACAGAGCTGCTCTCCACAATCTGTTTTTCTATAATTACTAATATGTAACAGTGCTGCTATTAAACAAAACTCATTGAATAAATGTTATAAAAGATGCACAGAGAAATAGGCCTGCCACCAGAATAAGCTGATTTTTACACTTTGGAGTTCAGGAAATTAGAATCGGATGTTTTCCCAGTCACCTACATTTCAACAAGTTAGGACATCATCAATAACTTCATTTATTATAGTAATTTGATTTTAAAAACAAGAATTGGATATAATTCTCAGACATGGTGTGATATAAGGGTTTTTAAAGATTCATTTTAATCAGTTTTTATTATTATTCTAATATGGAAATTGAATTCAGTTGTAGATCTTTGGAGAATAAGAGAGCTGTCTCTCTTTGACACATGGTGTGACATTCCCTCTGGTTCTTATATAGATAGATAACAATAAAAAAGCTTCTTAAGTGTACTGCATGGCAACAATAATGATCCACATTTCATAATGTGCATAAAGAGTATATATTTTTTATTTCCCCTTTAAACTAATAGATAGAAATGTTTTCAGCTTGTCACATCCTCAAAAAATTGGTGATCAGTCATAGTCTGCAGAATCTGGTCTATTTATCTCCTCATGTCATAGTGCAGTTACCTTAACCTGACCCTTAGCAACACCTTGTTTGCACTGGCCAAGCAGAGTCGCAAACTGGGAGCGTATAAGTTAGCCCGGTATGCCTACGAGAAGCTCCAGGAGCTGCACCTTCCTTCACGTTTCAGGGAGTCCGTAGAGCTGGGCAGCCTCACCATTCACTTCAAGCCCTTCCAAGACAGTAAGGTGGGTTAAAGACTGCGGTTCATGCTGCCCTGTTTCTGAAACATCCAAGGCCATCTCTCTCCTGTTTCCCGTCGGTCAAATTTTCTGTTTCCTGCAGGAGCTGATTGAGGACATGATGTGCTATCGGTGCTCCACAAACAACCCCCTTCTTCAGAGCAGCGTGTGCATCAACTGCAGGCAGCCCTTCATCTACTCCGCTTCATCATATGGTCAGTAACTCAGACATGATACAACCAACAATTTTTTCTTCCTTATTATTTTTAGTACTTATTTATGTATTGTTTGCCACAGAGGTGCTGCCTCTGGTGCAGTTTTACCTGGAGGAGGGTATCAGTGACGAGGAGGCGCTGTCCCTCATAGACCTGGAAGTTCCTCACACAGATGAGGGCCATGCACAAGGCCACACCACAGACAGAGGTGGTATCCTTTGATCTCTGGCTCATTATCATATCTGCACACAAAGCGACAGATTGTTCTCTTGATGTATATGAATTATTAAGTGCTCACTATGCTGCTGGCCTTACAAACAGCACACCTCCTATAATTGAAGCAGGGGGCTCTCCTCTGTCTTGTGACAGTCCTTAAAAGCTGTTTAGTCTGCACTGGCCTTGATTTTGTGCTTGTGGGTAAGCTGTCAGAACTAAGTCATCTTAGGCCTTGCACTAATAGGGTTAGTGAGGCTCTCCTGTCTCATCTTAATGACACTAACTCTCGAAGAGCCATAGCCACAGCCCTGCTCCAGGGATTAACCTGCATTAGCCAGCCGACTCTCAAGGGCACAGAGGTGTGTTGTGTTCCGCCAAGGCCATCAAGTGAATGACAGACAACTTAAACACATTGTCTCTCAGAACTTTCCCCTTAGATGCCAATTTATCAGGAGTGTCTCTGCAAAGAGCATTTGTAAAAATGAAAAGGTTATTCTCTCTTAATTGATGCCAAACAGACATGCAGTCTATGAGAATAGATGACGGTTTGGATTATACAGAGGAGGATCCATTTACAGCCACAATGAGCTTTGAGGTAAGGAAAGAAAGGACAAAATAGATGAGGTGATTAATATTCTGCCAGCTGGGTGAGCCAGCTGGAGACGATGAAAAGACAGAGTCGGTAAGAGGATGTGTTTGTGTTCACCTGTGTGTCCAAACAGCAAGGGGGCTCCACCTTTGTCCCCGTCAAGGTGAGCCGCTCGGCGCTGCGCTCCATGAGCAGAAGGGACGTCCTGATCAAACGCTGGCCCAAGCCCCTCAAATGGGAATACTTCCGTTCCCTGCTGCCGGATGTGAGCATCACCATGTGCCCCAGCTGCTTCAAGGTACTGGATTTACATACCCAGTGCAGCAAATTTCACTAAAACGTTTTTTAACCTGATGGAGCATTCATTATGAATTCTGACCTACAGATTTGGAGTTCGATTAACCCTGACTTTGAGTGATTGTAGTTGTTTTTATTCTTAGGACTGTAATGCATCCAAGAAAAAAAAAAGTGCTATAGATTCTTGAATGGGTGGCGGTTCTGAAACCAACAGAAGATTGAAAAATTACAAGTTTTCCTATTTATGCATTAAACCAGATCTCTAACCTTTACCTGGTTTGTTTTACTTTGCTACAAAAAGTGAATCAAAGTGCAATCCATTGTTTAATGTGGTGAAAATGATGTGGTTTTTTTAGTCTGGACCAGAACAGCAACCAAAGATTTCCCCCCACCTCTTTAATTTTTCAGAATTTTGACAGATTTTATCTTAATGCAACCTTACATTATAACTTAACTGTTTCCTTTTTATTTTGCCTGTTTTCTCATTTTTTTCTGCTGTATTTTCTTTCAGATGTTTCACAGTGAAGACTATGAGCTCCTGGTGCTGCAGCACACCCGCTGCCCTTACTGTCGGCGGCCAATTGACGGGCACAATGGATCGACCCTCCAACAGAGCCGATTCAGTGAATTTCCCTCATTGTCGTAGTTCTTTTTATACAACTTCTATCTGCTGGGTCTTAAAAGGTCCTTTGTTTAAATTATCTACTTTTGGGGACTTAAATATGTCCTTAACAACTGCAGGATTTCAGTTATTGTAGCTTTGTCTAATTTTTGTACATTTGTTTTCATGAATTTGCTTTTTCCATGTATCCTTTTACCCAAGTCTTTGGCTGATGTAGCAAAACTACAAGGCCCATAATGCATAGCAGCTAACCGCCCCGTTGGTAGGGTTTTATGGTTAGCCATTCAACCGTCCCTTTAAACAAAACTTTAAATATTTGTGCATTTTCCAAGTTTTTTATAAACTCTAATAAAGTGCTTTCTTTCACATGACTGCTGTCCTTTTTACGGGGGAAAAATAAGTGATTTTGTAAAATGTGATAAAGGGAAATGTTTAAGAGCTGTTATGAGCAGTACAACCCACTGATTGTGATTACACTCAGCTCTCGAAGTGGAGCTCTCTGCCTCACAGTGGTTAAAGCTTTAAGCTTTTTACTGATGCAAATAAGTTGGTTTGCTGCAGAAATTTCATTTGTAGTCCGTCCACTCTGAACGGCTGAAATCACAAACCGTTCCTCCGCCTCCCCTCCCACTCGGTCCTCTCAGCTAATTCTCATGCAGCGCTGATGCACATGACAGTAATTAATGGGTTTATTTAACCGTGGTTCTTACTTCTCACTGAGAAAATGCTTCACATCTTTTATGAGCTGTGTATTTTTCAGAGCGTTCCCCTGTGATGCCTTGTGTGTCTGTGTGTGTTTGTTAATGTGTGCAAGGATTCTGAGAGTGTGTCTTAATTCCATCTCTGCTAACACCTCACTCCATCCCTCGTCCCTAATCCAGCCAGACTATTAAAAGGTGCTGCACCTCCTCGGGGGGCTCCAGACAACATCTTATTTCCTCAGGATACAGCCGTCCATCCGTATTTTTCCTCCTAATTTCCACCTCCACTGCACCAAAAGACATCCCAGCTGTGCTTTGCTCTGAGAGGCACAGGCTCTTTTGCCCAGGTCTCTGAGAGAAGAAAAGACATCATCAACAGACACAGCCATGAATGGCACAGAAGGACCCAACTTTTATGTACCCATGTCTAATAAGACTGGGTTGGTGCGCAGCCCATTTGAGCACCCTCAGTACTACCTAGCCGAGCCGTGGAAGTACTCTCTTCTGGCTGCATACATGCTGTTCCTCATCATCACTGCCTTCCCCATTAACTTCCTCACCCTTCATGTCACTGTCAAGCACAAAAAGCTGAGAACCCCGCTCAACTACGTCCTGCTCAACCTGGCGGTGGCCGACCTCTTGATGATAATTGGAGGATTCACGGTGACCCTGTACACGGCTCTGCACGGATACTTCATCCTCGGTGTCAGTGGCTGCAACATTGAGGGATTCTTTGCCACCTTAGGAGGTGAGAAACTATCCTAAAAAAACTAATGCTGTGTAAAACATTTCTGACCCATATCTTATTGTCTTATTTAATATCTTAGGGGAGATTGGCCTCTGGTCTCTGGTAGTTTTGGCAGTTGAGCGCTATGTTGTGGTCTGTAAGCCAATGACAAACTTTCGCTTTGAGGAGAAACACGCCATTGCTGGACTGGGGTTCTCCTGGGTCATGGCCCTGACCTGTGCTGCTCCACCTCTGTTTGGATGGTCGCGGTACTGTCTGCCTTTCCTGCAGAAATATTCACCTTTTATTGTTGTAGTTTGTTACATTAATGCATGTTTGCGTCATGTTATAATTGCATGCTCTGTTGGTGTGCGTGGATGCAGGTACATCCCAGAGGGCATGCAGTGTTCCTGTGGGATTGACTACTACACGCCGAAGCCCGAGATCAACAACACCTCATTCGTCATCTATATGTTCGTCCTCCACTTCTGCATCCCCCTCTTCATCATTTTCTTCTGCTACAGTCGCCTGCTCTGCACTGTGCGAGCGGTAAGAATATCACCATCCATGCTGTTTTTTCTTTGTTTTGTTTTTTTTTAAGATATGATAGATTATCAGGTTAGATTTTTTTCCTCCATCTGAAGGAGGGCAGAGCATCATGGAGTCTCAGGGGATGTAAGGGGATTTAGAGGCTCAAGGACACTTCAGGAGGGCAGATGATTGCCAACGTGGCAGCTTGTAGTGAGGTTCTCATGCTAAAGGGCATTCAGCCTCCAGACTGTGTGATCGTCATGCCCTTCATAATATCAGTAAAAGTTTAATTATGCATTTGGAATCATTCAAGGTATGCTGTAAATGTGCATAATCTCCAAAAAGCTCCGTCAATGTACATACTGTAGTTCGGTTTGTAATTCTTCTTACAAATGGTTTGAATGCCCTATGCTATCCTTTCTTTGGAACCAACCCCATATTTAGGCATTTTAAATTAGAAAATTTTCTAATTCAACCTCCTCAACTGACCTTCAGTTCGTGTAGCATTAGTAGTTTGAAACTATTATTCTATTGAGGCAACAGCTACATACTGTCTCTGTTGCTTTTGAAGATAAACTGATTTTACAAACAGCTAAATCCTCTAGCAGTTTCAGCTGTGAAACAAATTAAAATATGACATTAATATTTTGGTTTTGCAAATATTTTCCATGTAATTTTGATAAATTGTTCATTTTTTCATTAAGTGTCATTATCTGCAATTATATTTGCCTAATTTTTGCCTCAGAATGCTTACAGCACAGGTTTCAAAATTCAGTCCATAAGGGATGATTTCCCGGACCTTTCAGATGCATCTCTGCTTAAACAGATATGAGCTCATTAACAGAACTCTTACGAGTTAGCTTAGCAATTTTGATTAGGTGTGTAGGGCAAGGGACACAGCTACAGGACACCAGCGCTATGAGATTTGTAGGATTTCGATTTGCAACCCCTGGCTTATAGTCAGTAGGTGCTGTTTTTTTTCATCTCACATGAACAGAGAAGGTCCTTTTTCTCTCCTCCACCTGCATCCTCTCTAGGTAGGGTACATTAGTTCTATCTGTGCACAATGCTGTTGCATATTGTGGCTTTTTTTGGGACACACACACTAAATCCCCCCGGTGCTCCCAAAGTCTCCATAGTAGCAACTAACAAATGCTAAATCCTGATTTAAATGGGGCTTGCTATCAATCACGTATGCAAATTTATTAGATTACCCACACTATCTAGACGTACAATGTTTTGTTTACACAAGAAATTTAGCTCAGATTCTTGGAATCTTAATAGATCAGAGCCTTTGCATTTAGTATTATGTTTAATGTCATCAGTATTCAGCATCCTTACACGGTAAAGGGGTGTTAATATTTATTTTCTGGGAAAGAATAGAAATAAACAATACAGCTTGTTCTCAAATCTAAGAAATTATCGATTAAGGTTTGTATCAATTGAGACAAGCTCAAAAGCACAAACTGACAGGAATTTCTTTGTCTTATGTTGTCATATTGAAAGTTTATAACATATTTGAATATTTGATGTTATTGCTGCCATTGTCAAAGAATTTACAGCGGTACCCATTGTACTGTTAAAGGAGGCAGAAATACCATTTCTGGTATTAAGTGTATCTGTTTTTGGTATATTAGCATTTTAATTAAATAATTTGGTGTCTTGCCACAGAGATGACCTAAGTTCAGTTCATACATTTATGAACGCATTGAGGTTGTGATTATGTTGGTATCTTAGCATTTGCCTTTTTAAATGTCTTTAGGGTCATTCTCTGTTGGATCATCAAGCTGTTAATTTCAGCTCAGGTTTATACAAAATCTTAAGGTCCTCATTTATTTTCCCTTCTTTATGGTAAAAACCAGATGATAATATCCTCAGCATCATGCTGTCACTGCCATGTTTAACAGTGGGAACAATGTTCTAGGCTTTGAAAGCCTCATTTTGATTCCTTCAAACATTTGTCTTGACATTGTGACATTGATCTTGTCCATCCTGTAGATCTTTTCTACGTACATATTTGCACCCATGCATAGCTGTACATTTAAGTTAAGTGTGAAGGTGCGGGGTATCAGAGCATGTAATTTGCTACATCTCTTCATCGTGGAAACTAACTGGTTTTCCAAACATAATTTTCACATTCATTTGCATAAGGAACACATGTAAACATCTAACTTGAACCTGGAAACGCATCAAATTAACAATTATGGTTTTTCTCGGTTTTATTTTTAGTTGTTAAAAATATTAGATGAAATGAAATGGCTTCTTTTCGCACATTTTAAAATGCCGATTTAAGTTTTGTGCGTTTGTGTTTAGGCTGCAGCTCAGCAGCAGGAGTCAGAGACCACCCAAAGAGCAGAGAAGGAGGTGACACGCATGGTCATAGTGATGGTGATCTCCTTCCTGGTGTGCTGGGTGCCCTACGCAACTGTGGCTTGGTACATCTTTGCCAACCAGGGAATTGAGTTTGGACCAGTATTCATGACAGCACCAGCCTTTTTTGCCAAAAGTGCTGCTCTGTATAATCCAGTCATCTACATTCTGCTAAACAGACAGGTATGTCTAGAAAATAATTGTGTCTAATATATGTTTTTAATGAAGCAAACTCCCCTACAGAAAGTTAAGAGAACAGACACAATTTATATTTGTTCTTCGCGAATAGATATTTTTACTTTATAGCCAACATGTTAGATTCCATCTTTTTAATTAAATATTTTACATAAATGTGTAGCTTTTAGCTTTATAGTAAAGTGCAAGAAGAAAATGTATTCAGTCCCCTGAGTTCAGACCTCTAACTTATGACAATACTAGAATAGTAATAAAGTTTGGCCATTTTGTTGGATTTTCTTTTTTCCTTTTTACATTTCCTGACATTCACAAACTTTAGCTGAAACCAGAGTTTCAAAGAGGTTGTAAAGAAGCAAAATGATCTCATCATAAAAAGTTCTCAGCCTGGTCAGGAGCATAAATTATCTGAGTCATTATATACTTAGAGTTTCTGCAGTGAAGGCAGGCAAGCATACATTTGGAAATAAATGTATCAACTTTACAAAACTAGACATTTTTCTAAGACCATTGAAAATATGTGACAAACTGGCAAATGAGGCTGCCAGGAAGCTGGAGGAGCTGCAGGGACGTCTTCCAAGCACTGATTGTGTTCTAAATGTGAAAACAATCTTTTGTATATTCCACATTTCTGGTCTAAGTAGAATTGCAAGACCATTTCCCCCCCTACAGAAATCATCCATCCAGAGATAAAATATCCTAAAGACACGTTAGAATATGTTGTATGAGCTGATGAGACCAAGGTTTGGGCCAAGATTTGTGTTTGGCACTAAAGAAACCTTGAACATGAATAATATAACTGTAAAACATGCTGGTACCACTCTCAGATCCCCTGTAATAGGGAACAACTTTACAGTTTTTCCACCCATAAGTTGTTGGCTGCTCTCCATATTTGTTTCTTAAGCCTCTGCTATATTCAGATAGGTAAGCAGAATTAGAAAGCATTACAAAAAAGATTGAAATGTTTGCATAAGAGAAATCCTTCAAAATTTGTCATGTTAATCTCGTAAATGATCAAGAATCTAATCCTGATCAAATACACTCATTTGAATACCCTAAACAAGGTCTAATGTTGGGCATCTGTGAAAATGTATACATGTTGGAGTCTTGTTTTATTTAACACACCTAATGTGCTGAGGTGAAAAAAATGATTTGTTTGATTCTGCTGCCTCCAGTTCAGAAACTGCATGATCACCACCGTGTGCTGTGGAAAGAACCCATTTGGTGACGATGAGGCAGCCGCCGCAGTCTCCAAAACCCAGACTTCATCCGTCTCCTCCAGCCAGGTGGCCCCCGCTTGACCCCTCACTTCCTCTTCTATCTGCTCCATCTGTTGCCGCTCACCATGGGACCCATCACCACCGAGCAGCGATACGTTCCATTGGCCGGTTCCTCCGGACTCACCTCCTCACTCTTCCTCACTGCAGTTGGCTCTTAGGCTGCAACTTCAGCGGGACAGACTGGATCAAAGGCCAGCATGTGCACTTTAAGCCTGTTTAATTATGAAAAGCGTTCAGCGGCCCTGGCTGATTTTTAACCCGGCATTATAGGGTTGCCATCTCGACTGAACACATTCCAAGCTCCCCTGCTGCCCCCCCAACAATGGTCACAAATGGTAATTTTTTCATTAGCCATTTACAAGTTTCTGACTTAATCTTAGCTGCATGTTTCACCATTTTTTCAGTCAGAAATGTTAAAGTGGTTGGTTTCCTACATACACTCCTCATTTTCTTCCAATTATTTTTTTAACTGGGCCGTGGTCTTGGCCAATAGCTTAGCTCTTTAGTTGTCCTTTACATTTCAAAGCCAGTTTGATGTGTGTTTGGCTTCATGATTTGATGCAATGCAACAGCAGACACTCAGCAAGACGCTACCACCACCATGCTTACCCATAACTAAAATGTTTCAGGTTGAAGAGCATCACTCCAAATATTTTTCCTGTTACTTACGTCAAAAAAATCAATCTCAAATCTGTCTAAAAAAATTCTACGCCTACACATCTCAGTCAAGTTTAGAGATGTTGCCTTTTTCTGCATCCATGTTAACAGACATTTTTTCTTTCTTTCTTGCTTTTCTTTCCTTTCTTTTCTTATCTAAATTTAAGTCTCAATGTTCTTTTTCTTTACTGTGTCTGGATGAGAAAAATAAAATCCAGAATAAATGCTGAGCTCTCCACTCTTAAGACTCATTGCCTCATCACCCTGCACAAACATTGCATCCATGCCAATACTGTGTGCACATGAATTTCTGACTGCCTCAGTATATATCCCCAAAGTACGCACTATAAATAACCAGTTTTGAAGTCTTTAGATTTATTTAGATATTCGTTTGTTTAATGTTTTTTTTAGTGCATCAGATTATTCTCTCCTCTGGTGTATATGATGATAAATCTGGGAGCGTTGACTCTTTTCTTTGTCTCAGCCATCCGTGGAAGTGAATGATAGAGTTTGTGTGTATGTGTGTGTGTTTTGCAGATGTTAATGTATCTGAATGAATGCCAAAATGTTAAGAGTACATGTAATAAAGAGATATGTTATTTGTTGTGTAAAGGTTAGGATTTGTGTGTTGCAATAAAAACAAAGCTGAATGTCCGCACCACCTTTTCCTGCACTTTTTTTTTTTTTTATCATGACAACATGTACAGTGTTTCCTGAGAACTTCCAGATGCTAATTTGTGGGCGGCTGAGTAAAAGGCCAGATTGTAATGGCTGTCAAATGTTGTTAAAATCCTGTAATGCATTTAAGAGAGTTGCTCTTCACCAGCTGCTATAATAAATCGCATTATTAGACTCTGTTAAAATACTTAATTTCCTGCAATTTATTTCACAAACAAATCATTTGGCATCACGATTACAGTCTCTCCTCAGATTATATTGAGCTCACACATTTTTGTCCTTTAAATGTAAATTTCCCTCTTTAAATTGATCAGATTCTAACATCCATTCACAAGCACACTGATTATACTGATGCAGCTCTTCCCAGTGAGCTACATTAAAACATCTGAATTAGTTGTTGGCAGTCTTTTATGGCCTTCCCTCTGCTCCTTGTCAACCTGTCATCAGCCTGCAGAGCACATTGGGACGTAATGTTCAAAGCACCAATGGGAGTCTGTTGCCCATCTTCAGCCAGACCTGAGATCGTTGCAGGCTTTAGGAGATGGGAGGAGTCCATTGTGGCACTGCTAATCCTGATGGACAGGCCACTTGAAAGCATTATAACACATCTATAAATATTGCTATAGACATTATATTACAGTACAGTGCATCTTAGGCTCCTTCCCTTCAAAAAAAGGGCTCAGTGCGTTAAAGGTGGCCACCAGGGCTAATTGTGCAGAAATTCCCGCTTTGAACTCCTGCAAATTCCTTCTAAGGTAAATCAGAACTAGGCTGGAATTCTGTGTTGCGTTGTGGGAAAAGATTAGGAAACGCATTGTGAGCGTATGACGCTTGAGAGGCAGCATTAAAATCCGTTTTCACTCTTGCAACAGTCAGTTGGAGAGAGATACATGAGCAGTTCCTCCTCAGTGGCGTTCTCTGGAAACCGTGTAGTTTGGAGGAGGGCAGCTGGCAGAAGAAGAGTGGTGGGGAGCAGAGGAGACTGACAGCTTTAAGCTTCACTGCAGCACTCGTAGATGTTGTCCTCCACAAGAGCAATGACCTGCTCGAACTTGTGGTGCAGCTGTGTGCGACGTGCAGTAGGGTTGGCCTCCAGAGCGTTCACCACCTGATCGGCGAAGATAGAAGAAACAAAACAAAAATGACGATGAGGAGCTGCCGAGAATTCAATCAAATCTGCCTACGTAAACAGAAAGATATGCAATAAAATTACCACCTCCTTCCCCATACAGTGCCTTAGAAAATATTGGTCCTTTTTCACATTTTATTATATCCACAATGTGTCTTTTGAACGGCTGCTAACTCTTTGATCTTAACCATTCTATGATGGACCTGGCTGCGTGTTTAGAGTTGAAGCCCTAAAAGAAAAGTACATTTCCAATCTAGTCTCAACTCTTATGTAGCTTCTACCAAATGTTCTTCCAGTATTATCATTAATCCAGCACCAAGAACATTTCTGTCACTCTGGCTAATTTTCCTAATCCTGTATAAAAAAAAAAAACATTCCTACAGCATGTTCTACTGCACATGTGATATTTTAGGGTGAAATTTAATCTTCCTTTTCTTCCATAAATAATGTTTTGCATGGAGACCAAAATGCCAGATTTGTGAAGTGGACTTTTAACCACCTGAGTGGTGAATCTCAGTAGCTCCTCCATAGTTACCACAATCTTGGCTCTATGATTACTGCCCTCCTCACATGGCTTGTCTAGGCTTTGTAGGTTTGTAGTTTTGTCCCACTCTTTCCGTTTCCAGAACATGGATTGAAAAATGCTCCTTTTGAAATCTTTACAGAAAAGCTGAATTTAAAGAGATAATTAGAAAATCATTGATTCTATTAAAAAATTATCTGTCCTGGATTTTATCCATGGGTGTTAGGATAAAGGGGAAATAAAATAAAATAAAAACTTCAGGGGTATGAATACTTTTGTGAGTGGAAAGCAGGGAAAAGAAAGAAGTATTTCAGCCTCTTCTCCCTGCCGTCATGCACGCTTTATAACCACAAAAGCTCTTGCTCTTCACATATTTATAAAACCCACATCTGCTCTGGTTTTCATGCCCAACAGTTGTCACTGTGTCAGTGGGATTTATGGGCTCTTAGCAGCAGTGTGCTACCAGGCAGAGCGAACTGAGCCGGGGCAAAAGAATAGGCAATCAGGGGCCATTCACAGAGCTCTGTGAATCACAGTCTAAGCCCCTGGCCCACGTCAGTACAGTAGCATGACAGAGCTAAGCAGCATTATTGTGAGGGTGCTCCATGAAGGCACAGTCACCACTGACTAAGCCTCTATCTGCAGAATAAGGCGTAGCAGCGTGGAATCATGGGGGAGGACAGCGGGAGCCTGAAAAGGGCTAGTTCAAAGCAAAACGAGAGATATGAAGCGGCAACTTAACAGCGCCATTAGGCAGATGGGGGTGTCGGCTCATGAGAAGGTAAACAACACGCTGTTTGCTTAAAGTGAAAGGTATCTGTGGGCTCAGAAGACATGAGTGAGCAGACTGAATAATTCCTGCTGCTACTGCTTGGATGGGAGCCCAGATCTGATTGTTTCCCCTTTTAACAAAAGAAAAACAGCTTTTAGATGCTTGTATTTATTGACTAGTTGCAACGCAATCCACAGTCTGTTACATCTCCCATCGCAGCTGAGATCTGTAGCACTGATGCATCAAGCTCTGATAGCTATCAGTGAAACTTAATACAACAAGTGAGCTCTGCGGAAGCATTGAGGCTGTGAAGAAGGGCCAGTATGAACATCCAAACACATCTTATCCACATCTTGGATCACAAAAACAGAGAACAATGGAACAAATCTCTCACCTGGTTTCTGTATCTCTTGGCATATTTGTAGATTTCTGTCAAGGCCAGATGGGTGTTAAACTCATTTCTGTATTTCTGCAAGACAGACATCAACATATCAAGTCAGATCAAATTCCAAAATGAGACTTTAGTGTCATAACAGGCTTTTGAAGATCCAGACAGATAAAACAAGCAGGAACCCTTTGAATATTTGACTTACTCTTGACTCCTCAGCGAGGTGAGCATTCATCTCCTGCTCACTGAGAGGGGGCATTTCTTGGATCTGCTTGTAGTAGCACTGTACTCTCTTCTTGTACTCAGGGATTTCCTTGGCATACAGCAGCTTGTTAGTTGGTGAATCCTGTAATAAAACAAAAAACAAAAACCTGATGTAAACGTTTAATTTTGCAGCCACCGTAGCTCTGCAGGGCTTTGCACCTGCAGTGCTTTGACCCACTTGCACTGAAGATTTATGCCACTTTAATTTTTATCCCTAAAATAGATGCAACACCTTTATTCAAATGGAAAAGTTCACACTTAAAATTGCACTGAAATGAAGCGAAGGAGGAGTAAAAATATAGGATTGTGTGTCACTAATACAGACGGTAAAAAGAAAGTCGACCTTTTCTCAGAGATTCAGTTTGTACAAAACAAGCAAAAGATTTCACAGTGCCAGTATGCACTGCCAAAATGGAAACTTTCTATATGGAAAACTCTCTTGTTAAAGAGAACCTGTGTCTCTACGAGAATAATAAAAACAATTAATAATCAATTAATAAACAATTAATTATAATACCAATGAAGCTCATCTCACTAAATTAATTAATAAGCAAGACTGTATATGAAAGACTTCTTGACATTGTACAGGACATCACTACTTTAAGTTATGGCTGCTAAAGAAACTTCTAGAAGGCCAAATTGTTGGGTATTCTTAGATTCTCGCACGTGTTTTTTGGTCTTTTGAGTTGATTTTTAAATCATTTTAGGGCCTGGGACAGATCAGATCTTTTTGTTATTCTTAAATGCATTTGATAAAAACAAAAAAGCACATACAAGTGGGTGGACTTTCTCTTTTTTTAATCAAAACTGAATAATACATTCATCTTTAGTTAATTAACTTACT